CAAAGAAAAACCCAGCACCATTCTCAAAAACATATTCCAAGACGTTCCTAAAAATACTGCTAAAAGTATCTCCCCAAAAACCACCGTGAAAGACACACCACACGACATCCTTCACACACAGATATTCCACCAGATGCACCAGACAAATCCCCAACCTTTCAACCCACCCCCTGGCACAAACGAAGGCCCCATAGATGCTGCCAACGACATCCCCAACGACATCCACAAAGACATCCCCCAAATACAATACCCAAAGGCAAACGCAAAGACAAACTTCTTACAAAGCCATCGAAGTCAGCCCAAAGATATGATTCAAGACAACCACAGAAACATGTCTAAAGACACTCCCCAAAGACAACCTAGCACAGACCCCCAAGACATCCGCTGACACATTCCGCCACAATACGTTCCAAATACATCCTGGAAGTCATCCCCGAAGACAACTTTAAGACAACAGAGACTTCCTCCAAAGACACCTTCCGAAAACATACCCAAAGTCATCGCTGAAGGCGTCGCAAGACAACCGTAAAGACATCCCTCAAAGATACCCCCCTACAAAAGCACAAAAGCTTCCCTAGAGACATCCGTCAAAGACATTCCCCCAAAACACCTTCGAGTTCTAAAGACATCCCAGGATCCCGAAGTCCGCGCCTGCCACGAGACCTGCACGCCATGCTCCAAAAGTGCTGCGCCTGCGAGGTCTGCGCACGCGTCTCCAAAGTAGCGCGCCTGCTTCCAAAGTACTGCGCCTACCACGAAAGTCTGCAGTCAGGCTTCAAAGCGCTTCGCCTGCCACACAGTCTGCCAATCTGCACGAAAAGCTCCGGAGCGCTGCGCCTGCCACGAAAATACAATTTAAAGAGCTCTAAAGCGCTGCGCCTATCACAGAAAGTTAGCCTGCGACGAATCAAAGCACGATCAAAGTGTTGCCTGCCACGAAATCCAGCTTGGACACGTTTACCACGCGCATCCACGATTAGCATGGGACTGTGGCGCCAGAATGATTTTGACCGATTCTGGCGAGCTGGTTGTACGACAGGGCCAACGAAAATGACACTCGCGCAAACGCCTGCACGCGCATTCCAAGCAAGACACCTCAAAACGACCACCCGTGAAGCGCAAATCACCATGGCGAGGCGACGCAAGCACACGGCCTTCCAACAACACTGCGCCCGCGCAGAGAAACGACACGCAGCGTCGCTAAGGCTACCGTTGACGCACCGCAATAAAAACAACATCTTGCACTCCCCGGCACGGCCTTATAGCCAGGTCGGCCAGTTACGGACGGGCGGTTGCGAACTCTCGAGCGACACGTCGCGAACATGACCTGCATCCCAGACCCCCACTTGCAAATGGTAGCCCTTCGCTACGCATTCGGGAAAAACAAAAACACAACAACAACCAAACAAAACAAACAAACACAACAAACCAAAAAAACAAGCAAGCACACAAGCAAGCACGCAGGCCAGCAGGCAGGCAGGCAGGCAGGCAGGCAGGCAGGCAGGCAGGCAGGCAGGCAGGCAGGCAAGCAAGCCAGCAGCCAGTAATGACAGCCAGCAGAGCATTCAAGAAGGTCACAATCAACCAACCAAGCAATCAGCCAATCAATGAAGCAATGAAGCAATCAACCAATCAAGCAACCAAACAAGACAGTCAAACCCATCAAATCAAATCAATCAAATATATCAAATCAATCAAACCGTACCGCACAAATAAATCAAATCAATCCAAACAACACAATCAAACAAATCAATGAAATCAATCAAATCAAATCAAATCAAGTCAAAACAATCAACACAATCCAATCCAATCCAAGCCAATCCAATCCAATCAATGAATTAATCAATGAACCAATGAAATCAACCAAACCAAACCAAACCAACCAACACAATCCAATCCAATCCAATCCAATCCAAACGAATCCAATCCAATCAATGAATTAATCAATGAATCAATGAATCAATCAATGAATCAACCAATGAATCAAAGAATCAATGAATCAACGAATCGATGAAGGTGAGAATCTGAGAATCAATGAACGATGAATCAATGCATGAATGAATGAATGAATGAATGAATGAAGAAATGAATCAATCAATCAATCAATCAATCAATCAATCAATCAATCAATCAATCAATCAATCAATCAATCAATCAATCAATCAATCAATCAATCAATCAAATCAATCAAATCAAATCAAATCAAATCAAATCAAATCAAAACAAATCAAATCAATCAATCAATCAAAACAATCAATCAATCAATCAATCAATAAATCAATCAATCAATCAATCAATCAATCAATCAATCAATCAATCAATCAATCAATCAAATCAATCAATCAATCAATCAATCAAATCAATCAAATCAAATCAAATCAAATCAAATCAAATCAAATCAAATCAAATCAATCAATCAATCAAATCAATCAATGAATCAATGAATCAATCAATCAAATCCATTCAATCAACCAATCAAACTAATCAAACCAATCAAACCAATCAAACCCATGAAGCCCATCAAACCCATCAAACCAATCACACCAATCAAACCAAACCAACCAACCAACCAACAAACAAACAAACAAACAAACAAACAAACAATCAATGAATCAATGAATCAATCAATCAATGAATCAATGAATCAATGAATCAATGAATCAATGAATCAATGAATCAATCAATCAATCAATCAATCAATCAATCAATCAATCAATCAATCAATCAATCAAATCAAGCAATCAATCAAATCCAATCAATCAAACCAATCAAACCAATCAAACCCATCAAGCTCATCAAACCCATCAAACCAATCACACCAATCAATCCAAACCAACAAACAAACAAACAAAAAAACAATCAATCAATCAATCAATCAATCAATCAATCAATCAACCAATCAATCAATCAATCAATCAATCAATCAATCAAACCCAATCCAATCCAATCCAATCCAATCCAATCCAATCCAATCCATCAATCAATCAATCAATCAACCAACCAATCAACCAACCAACCACCAACCAATCAATTCAAATCAATTCAATTCAATTCAATTCAATTCAATTCAATTCAATTCAATTCATGTCAAGCAATCAATACCAATCAAACACAAAGCAATAAAACAAGCAAGCAAGCAAGCAAGCAAACCAGCAGAAAGCAACCAAGCAAGCGAGCAAACAAGCAACCAGCACAAACAGACACACAAACAGCCAACTAACCTACCAAAGAAACAGAGAAACAAGCAGACATGCATACAGACACAGACAGACAGACAAACAGACAGACACAGAGACAGAGACAGAGACAGAGATGGAGACAGAGACAGAGACACAGACACAAAGACAGACAGACAGACAAACAAACAAACAAAAAGCAAGCCAGCAGAACAAGAAACACGCAAGCAAGCAAACACACAAAACATCAAGCATTGTGCTTCCACAAAAACATGATGTGTGGGTGTTCGCTCTTCGAATCCTTCGAGTCAAGTTCCAGTTGCGGTCGAGGCTGCCCAGTCCAGTGGGAAAGCGGCACGCAGCAAGGAAAGGGGCCTTGAGGTCACTGCCGTGTACAGAACCCCGTTCTGAATTTCCTTAACGCGCAGCTCCTTGTAACAAGCACGCCATGGAGCAGACGGAGGCGTCCATAAACTAGAAGCATGCTACACCAGCACAACTGAAGGGGAGAGGGAATTGGCCTGATTTAGAGTCGTTTGCAAGTAATTCCTACACGCGACATATTTCTAGAGATTCACAAAACAATTCGAATGCTTTATGGCTTTGCTTATAGCCACAGAGCATGTCCGATTGACAATCTTTGTTTTTGTTAGGACCTCCTGGACTGTTTTCTTGCCACAGCTCGCTGAACTGTAACTCCGGGAAATGGGAGCAGCACGGTGACGCAGACCGACCTTGAGCAGTGCTTGAAGGTCATTGACTTTGGGCTCTTCCAAGGTGGCCAAAAAAGGTTTGGGTGGGTTCGGGCGTTGCTAGCTTGCCTTTTTGGAGGTCCTGTTGGCCCGGATCAACATTTTTGGCGACCCCAATGTCGTTTGTGATGATTCCTCAAATCCCAGACCCTCGATCGAGCCTGTCATTCTATAGTATGCCTGCAAACCTGCTTTGAGGGAAGGAAGAAAATGTGTCAAATGGTCAGGGGGATAGAATTGCATGGGCTCACTGACCTTCGGGGCTTCTCGGCTGAGCTCTGTCAAGGTCAGCATTCTGGCACGCCTATGCTCACACTCCGTGTATGGGCGACGAGCTGATCGGGTACAATAAGGCTCGAAAGGTCACAGCTCGGCCGCTTATCACAGCCGTCGCGCGACATCATTGAGGTGGGGTTTTACGTCCACCAACCACTTTGCAGGGGGTTCCCTATCAAACTTAGTGGCCACAAATTGCCTTCTGATAGGATCGTGCCCTAATTGAAATGCTTTTGGAGGAACGCACACAGTTGGAGACAAACCTGTGCGGACAAACGCAACAGCTTTGCTTTTATTGAATTACACAAGACTCTAGCTGCCCTCCCAAATTGTTGAACAATACGAGCCTCCGGATGTGTTCAATGCAACGCCTGCACTGAGTACGATCCGGACTTCGTCCCCTCAGGATGTGTTCAATGCAACGCCTGCACTGATTACGATCCGGACTCCGCCCCAGACCGATTGAATGCCACACCGCTGAGGGTACTACAGTACCCCTTCAGCAAGTACAAAATGACCTACTCGCTGGTCAGCATCGACTGCTGAGATTAACGCGCTGCATCAATGAGGGCAGTCGTGTGGAAAAGAACAAGTGGCAAGCGCATCCTGCACAAAGGTTCGCTTCGAAGATGCGCTTGCAGGTTGCCAAGCGGCACAGCCACCCTGACAAACAGCTTGCCCAGGGGCCAATACTCAACATGCAACGTGCCAAGAAGCATTGGTCAAAATTGATAAATCATTTAGTTGAGGGAGACATCAAGAACTGTGGGCCAGCGTGAATGCTTGCCTTTCTGGCTTAGCGGCGGTTCCTGCGCTTGCCCCGCATGGCTTCGGTCATGAAAGACACCATCTCAGGGCGTTTTTCAGCCAGGGCTCGCTCAACGTTCCGGACGAGTTGAAGATTGTGCCCCCGCATCAGCTTAAATGCGAAGGAGATTTGCGGCCTGCGCGTGGAGCAAAGAGCTGGCGCGTGGCTTTGGCCAATGTGTTCTACTGGGGAGTCAGCCGGGCAAAGCAGTTGAAACCTAAGCTGCAACTTGTGTCAACCCTCCGACCGTGACAAGTAGCCCTTGTTTGTTGATACCTGTGAGCACTGGGACAGCCGCAGTTGCTATGAAAAACCTTAGACAAACATAGTTGGCTGCACACATGGCCCGGTGTGCACAGACCTCCGAACTGTTTGGGCAATTGCTTGGCCTTTCATGAGGGTCGAGGTTGGCTTAGGGTCGGTTTAGAGTAGCCTTGGTTTGGGAGCGTGGTGTTAGGGGATACGGATCGCGCGGTCGTGCAACTTTGGCCCGCCGTTGCACATAATTCGAGTCGTATGTTCACAGAACACATGTTGGTTTCCAGTCTTCGGCTTTCGCCTGCGGCCGGAAGTTTGTTCTCAGGCCAAAAATAATAAGTTGAGCGTTCCGGTCAAGTGTGCGCTGAAATGGACTTGACGCGGAGACTCCCTCAACAATGTGCAGTTGTGCTCTGCAACAGAATCATATCCAGGAAATTGCGGGTCGCAAGCCGTCAACGCCACACGAGGGGTGGCGGGGTCCAAAGTGGCTGAGGGGGGGGAACGCTTAATCCGCCGACACCCTCGGGCCACTGGCGATTAGATCATCTGGAAATAACTATCCTGTAATCCCACCACAAGATTTGCGTGACCGCCTCATTCGTGTGCCCTTGGGGTGGGGAGCAGGCGAGTTTTGGCGCTTGCTTTGACGTCTTTGAAAGGTCTTGCCAGCGGAGACCTTGGTTGCGGCACGCGTTGCCCTTTCAGCGGGCTGAGCGCGGCCTCGAATCTTGGCGGGTTTCGAATCCCAGCGGCGGCCGCTCGGTGGATTTTGCGGGGCCGGGCTGTGCTTCGGAAGGGTTTGAAACCCGACCTCCCCAGCATTGGGCGAAAGCTCTGCCATCGGTCGCACCCTTCAAACCTTGCTGCTTGGTTTGCTTTCAAAAGGACCCGGGTCGCCTTGGCAAGCCCTTGCCCTTCAGTACCAATCGGATACTTTGCAGCTGATGCTTCGCATGGGAGGCATGCACTGGCCGAGTAAAAACGGAGACCCAAGGAAGCCTCGCATTCAATTCCCTGCCCGAAGCGGGCAGCACGAAGCGTTCACAATTGATTGCTTCAAGGTTCACCACCTGAAGAATCTGATTCCAACAAACGTACTGTTTTGGGTCGAGGGCCAAGCCTGAGGCAACTTCTCTTGTCCACAGCTCCCACTTCATTGAGTGGGCTCTTTGCTCTGGCTACGACGTTTGTTTCCAACGGCTGTCGTTGACCATCTATGGGATGGCGCCCAAAGCCATTCGATTGACGTTGGGTTCTGCCAAAATGGCTCCGAAGGTTTACATGGCCCGCGCCTCACATTTCACGTTTCGAAGTTGGGGCACAGGATGTGACTCTAGTGCAGGCGGTCCAAGGAAATCGCTGGGCAGCAGTCTCACCTGGTGCAGGTAATCTGGCGGGAACACTGAGATTCGCGTCATCCACATGGCTCTTCCCAGCGAGAGCAAACTGCTGGCTTGCTCCGCAAGCTCCCCACTTGGCATCATCAGCATCACCAGCATCACCATGGTGTGGCTGGGAATGTTCACGGTCTACGCATGGTTTTGTACAAAAAACACTTGATTTGGATGCATCGCGGGGACTCTGCAAACAAAACCTCTTGCTCTGTAGAGTCTTACTGTTTGTGCTGTTGCGCCGTGGTGCTTGCAAAGTGTCTAGACATGTGTATTATGTAAAATTGTGGCAATTCAATCTGGTTGCAGCAGTTGTTCAGCCATGTAAAATCACGCACTCTCCTGAACACGCGTCTCAAAGGATGGGGCAGGAAGGTGGCCTAGTGCAACAGCTTTCACCTAAGTGACGATGTGTTGCCGGGGTACATCTGATAGCAACAAGCCCACATTGGGGATCCAAGGATGCCCGCCAAAGCGGAACACAATGATTCCGACATGGGAATTTTAAAAAGACTGGAACGGATTGGTTGCAACCCATGATCAACGTGCACACTCAGTTGCAGATCATTTCAACTGGGCGATGGACTTGTGATGCTGGGGGAGGGCAAGCACTCAGACGTAAACAGGGGACACGCAATGTGACGAATCTCCTTTCGGGTTCCCTAAGGGCAGGGGACCCTGGAGGAGGCCGTGTTCCAGGATAGGCCGTGACGCGTGGCTACAGCCAAGCAAGACCTTTGCAGCTACGAACTCTCCCATAAAGCCCACATAAATTATCCTTTCTTGCTTTCTTGCTCGTGAAAACCAGCTATCCATCCCGGAACACGAGTTGCAACACAACCAATGGACCAACATCCCAAGCGAGCCTGCTTTGTACAGTCACTTCGTCCCAGCGTTCAGCGAGCTCCTGCCCGCAAGCCTCAGACCAGCAAGACAACACACAATGTCAGCAAAATGCCTTGGAGTCTTGCTTGTCGTCACTTGTCCTCTTTCAAACATGTCAAATCACAACTGCAGGGACCCGCCCGCCCGCCCAAGAAAAGAACCCAGACCCTCCCCTACACATCGAAGACAGCTTTTCCACAACAAACTCCGAACAAAGTCCGAGCAGGACGAACTTGAGGAGGGCGAGTGAGGGTGGATCTGGCGGGAGAAGTTTGGATACCTCGGCATCGCTTCGCTTGGGCACCTGGTTGAAGGCTGTCGAAGCGCGGTTTGTGTCCTTGTCTTAGCGGGGGCGAACGCGAAAAGTCGAAACGTGGGAGTGGAACAACAGTCGAAAAGAGGAAAACGTTGGACATAGCTCGAAAACTGGATAAAGGGAGTTTAAAACGACACTTTTCTGCAAGTGTCCCACTTTTCCGACTTCTCTCACTTCTCTCACGTTTCTCACTTTTCTACTTTGCTTCCGGATAGACCAGGACGCGCTTGTTTGCTTGGGCAAAGGCTCAGGGTCCTCGGGGTTCCCAATGTAGCGAGTCATTGAGACATTTTAAGAATGACGTGCTAGCTCTCGGCCCGAGCCTCCCAGCGGTTGAGTTGGGTCAGCAGAAAGCGGGCACACCCTTGCCATGGATCCTCGCCCTTTTTGGTCCCATCGATGTCAAGGTGGGCCAATCTGTTTCAGGGGTCTTCCAGCTTGGGGAAGTTCATGATGGCTGGCAGCACGGCTTCAGGGTTCCGGACGGTCGGCCTGTTTGCGTTGCACCACCGTGCTCGGCTGAGGAAGGTCGTTACTCTGTTTACAATCTGCAGGTGGACGTTCTTTTGCCTCTCTGGCACCTGACACGCACAGCCGACACCCAGGTATTCCGCATCGACCGTGACGCTTTTGCCTTCTCCCCTCATGTGGTTGAACTTTGTGCTGGCTTTGGGGGTATGGGCATCGGTGCCTCGCATTTGGGTGGACAGACCGTTTTGTGCGCCGAACCACAACAATGTTGTCTGCAATCACCTGGCGGCCAACCATGCTCGTGTGTTGAAGCTTGATTTGAACCATCCTGCAGCAGCACAGCAGATACATCAGGCTTGCGGCAACACAGCCGCCACACTCATGCTCGGGTTTCCTTGCCAACCCTACTCCAGTCAGGGCAAGAGACTCGGGACCCTTGATCCCCGAGCTCGAACCCTTTGGAGCGGGCTCCATGTCGCCTTCATGCTCCAATGCCAAGCACTCATCTTAGAGTGCGTTGTCGCCGCAAGGCATCATCCAGATGTTCGCAAGGCTCTCAGCTCCTTCGCATCTGCCATGAACTTCGATCTACTTGAGGTGGAGCTTGATCTTTGCTCGCAATGGCCATGCAGGCGCCGACGTTGGTGGGCCTTGCTGTTGCCCAAGCAATGGCATTCCACGGGCCTCCATTCCTGGCCGCACTCCTCGCTCTTCACCACCATCGGATCCGTCATTCGCAACTGGCCTGCCTGGCCAGCCGATGAGGAAGCCTCGCTGCTCCTCGATTCTGTCGAGATCAACCGCTACACTGATCCATCCCTTGGCCACGACAAGAGGGAGCTCTCCCTTGACGACATCTCTCCCACAGCTATGGCAACGCCCTCCAAGCCTGTCCTTGCTACTGCCGGCTTCAAGGATTCTCGGAAGCTAGCCTTGCTTCGAAAGGGCTTCGTGGCTTCTTCGTGCGAGCCAATCCATCTGGCCTGCCTCGCTTTCTGCACGCACCACAAAGAGGCCGCTATCCTGTTGGGGGTTCCATCTGACATTCAGTACGTGCTTCCGCCACGTGCTAACTTGGCGCTATTGGGGCTCATTGCCTCCCCTCTGCAGTCTACCTGGGTCTATGCGAGTCTCCTTGCCAACTTTGCCCAGGCCACCAACGCCATACAGCCCATCTCACCAAGGGCTGCTATTCAATCTCTACAGGATCGACTGCTTTGTCAATGGCGACTACAGCAACCACAGACGGCACCTGCCCACATCTCACTTACGGTCCATCGCTCTGATGGACCCGAGGTGCTTGCCACAACTTTTGCGACAGCAACAGCTGACTCTGTGATGCTAGCAGAGCGCATCTATACCGAATGGGGGTCCACGACCAAACTCACTCAACTGCACAACGAGCATTGCACCACAGCCGTTTGGACCCACCAACGACGCAAGAAGCAACGGATCCTTCCACCTACTCAGCCGGTCGACATTTGCATCATCCATGAAGAAGTGATGCACTGCACTACTGTTGCCGCTGGCAGCTTCCTGTTTGAGCCGTTGCGCCACCTCGGCATCTCTGCCAACTTCCTCTGGCACCACCAACTTGGGCTCATCGGAGCAGACACGCGGGTCTGGCTCCCCATTACAGTGTCCACTTTCTCGCCTCAAGCTCTTGGTGATCTGAAAGGACCCGATAGGGCCCTGGTTGCCAAAGGCGGGCATACTCACGCGCTGCACACCGCTAACGGGGCAACTCGCACTGCTGGTCGCGTTGATGCTGATGTCGGCAACCTGGACGAGGTGATTGAAGCACACGTCCTTGAATCCACTCCATCCATCATCTCCGTCGGGAAGCGTTGTATGGACATGGGGGTTCAAGCCCAGCTTCGCCTTGCGTATGGTGGGCCCTCGAACAACCCCGGCCCTGGTCTTGCCGAGGACTTTCTTTGGCACATCTTGCAACAGATTGCTGGGACCACTGCTCCATCAGCCGCCGACCCTGTTGTATGTCTCCTTCATCCAGGTCTTGACGAGGCCATGCACACGCCTCCACACCACCAGCACACACCTGCCACCTTCCAATCCCTCTCGGCCGCCATTTGCGCCCAGCACACACACTCTGCCTTCCTCGTTGTCGGACTCTTCATTGTCCATGGGCTTGGGCCCCACCTGATCAGTCAGGTGACGCAGCTAGCCTCAGATCTGACACGCCTCTTGGGCTCCACCTTCGGCGGGCTTCTCCTGGCCGACTCTCTTCGCCAGGACCTTCCTTGGACCTGTGGCACCATTGCCCTTGCACACGCACTGCATCTCATCACCAGTTGCGACTTGCCACAACCACATCAGATCGCGGGGATCCATCAGGAGCTTGTGCATGCACAGGGACCTGTCTCTTGTCCACTTGGTCTTGGTCCCACTAACACAACTGCCCTGCTTGCCACTCTGCTCACCACTCATGGCGTGCCAGCAAATCTTGCAGATGAACGGGCTCAGTCAGCCATCGGTCGCCTCGGCCTCAACGCGGTACAGCAAGCACTAGCAGCACCTCAGCCTTGGACTGAGCTGAAAGCAAAGGCCAACACCCCAGCTACCATGTTTCGGCTTGTCCTGCCGTCTGAGCTCTCTGCTCATGTGCAAGCCCGCTCGCAGAGCCAATTCGGGGCAGCCATCTCCACGGACAAGAAGAAATCCAAAGGTAAAGGTGAGAGGCGTCCACGACCCACACCGGCTCAGCCTGACCCTGCTGATCTCAGCCTCTTCGCTGACTCCTTTGTCGATGCCAAACAGCTCGCAGTTCCACCTTTGCCCTTCCACGCCGTCACTGCTGACGCCCGTGGTGTCGCCATATGCACCGCACAACAGGCTCTTCCTTTCATCAAAGCAGGCAAGCGCATCAGCCCCGAGGCTCTTGCCCTGGTTGTCAATGAGCCAGTTGAGGCGCCAGTTGGGGCCGAAATTGCCCCTCTGATCTTCCCTGCTCAGTACCAAGGCACAGGTGAGCCTGTGTTGCTTCGTGGTGCCATTTTACAGCTTGGCGAGGCGGCTAACGTCATGCCCCAGCCAGAAGTGGTACACACTCAGGTTCTTCGGATTCAGGTCTATCGGGACCTGTTCGATCAGTGGGACACCTTCGCTGAGGCTCCCATTCGTGAGCTGGTCAGGCTCTCCCCACCTCTCAAGCTTTGCCGAGATTCCCAATGTCTCAATGGAGCCCATGGTGAATGCAAACCACCCACCCGGCCATTGATGAGGAGTTCGATCAGGTCATCATGGAAGTTTGGGGTAGGGCCTTCATGACCCTCGACGGCAAGCGCACCCAGCCCACAGAAGCTGCTACCTTCATGGCCTTCATCCGGGTCCCACTGTCCTCTGTTCGCTCCATTCTCACCCACCAGCCCAAAGGAGCCTTCATCGAGCCCCGCTTGGACGCCATTCAAGGAGTTGACCCCACTTACCCATTCGTCTGGATTCCTCATCAGACTACGATCAGGTGCTTCACACTGCCCGCACCTTCACCAAATCTCTCAGTTTCATGCGGCTGAAACAACGCTTCGGCATCCGGGTGCTTGCCAAAGACCTCCAGGCCGCTCATGAGACCCTTCGACCGGGTACCCCCTTCAATGACATTGCTGTGAACCACATCTTTCAGCTCTTCCCTATCCCACACGGCACACAACGCTCCTCAGTCGCCAAACTGCTTGAGGATTGGCAATGGGAAGCGAAACCACTCCAACCACGCAGGGGCAACTCTCATGCCATGTCTTTCACAGTCCTTTCTTCCAAACCCCCCTCTGGATTTGTCCTCCCTCGTTTTGGTGCTGACGTCCTCATCACTGAGACTAAGACCCAACCCAAAGCACACGACCTTCTCAACATTACCTCTTCCAGACGTACCCAGCACCACATTCGCAACGGTACTCCGACACCCCAGTCTGGTGGTTCCTCCGATCCCTGGCTTGAACCTGGTGGTGATCCTTGGAGTCGCTGCTCCAAAAACACTGCATTTGCGCCGCCTGGGCTCCCTACTCCATCCGCAATCACCAAGACTCGCTTTGACGAGAGCTCAGGGCAGAAGTCCAGGCCACCCTCCGCTCTGAAGTCGCTGGGCATCAGGCCATGACAGATGACCCGGACACTCAATCCAGACTTCACAAGCTCGAAACTGACATCACCGAGATCAAGTCGCACAATCAACACTTCAACCAGTGGTTCAACCAGGTCAGTGCCCAGCATCAACAACTCGAGAATGTTGTATC